TTTTAGTGGTATGTTCCGTGGTCCTCGGCACCATAGAGTAATTTAAAGGCACCCCAATGTCTGCCCCACCCCCCCCCGGCACTAGTCGGCCCTACTCGGCCCTACCCGGCCCTGCTCAGTCGTATTCGGCAGTCCTCGGCGCCACAGGCCATCCTCGGTTGCCCCACCCTTTCGCTTTTAGTGGTCTTTCAGCTGTAGTCGAGTAATTTAAAGGCACCCTGCCCTAATGTCTGCCAAGCAGCATTGCCGGGAGAGGGTGGGGCCGGGGCAGACATTGGCATGCCTTTAAATTACTCTACTAGAATTGAAATACCACTGAAATAGACAGGGTGGGGCAACCGAGGATGGCCTGTATACTCGGCCCTACTCCCTACTCGGCCCTACCCGGCCCTACGCAGTCCTACTCAGCACTCCTCGGCACCATAGGCCGTCCTCAGTTGCCCCACCTCTTCCCTTTTGCCTGGTTTTTGGAGCGGCAACTGCACTTTAGGCTGGTTTTTGGCCCCATGTTCCCCGGGCTCATGACTCATATGCATCTCTCCTTCGGGGTTTGGGTACCCCTGTAGGGAAAGTCGAAGAAATCAAACGCATTCGGCAAGGTTTGCAATTTTGGCCGGCGCTTAGTCAGGAATGAAACAAGGAGTTGCACAGAGTTGTCCAAGTTGTCTATAAGGCGTACTGGATAAATCTGTCGTCTGACCGTCTCCTCCTGTACAAATCCCTATGTTGTATCAATCTCCGCGCTTAGCCGCACCCATGTCTTCTGTATTTCAATAAATACTGCTTGCTGAACATATATACACTTGAAAAGATTTTCACATATGGGATTTTTAAACGGTTTCGCTTCGAGACTTCAAATTTTCCTCGCACGTGTGGTTCTCAACTCTGAATGTTAATCAGGAATGAAACAAGGAGTTGCACAGAGTTGTCCAAGTTGTCTATAAGGCGTACTGGATAAATCTGTCGTCTGACCGTCTGCTCCTGTACAAATCCCTATGTTGTATCAATCTCCGCGCTTGTCCCCGAGCATGTCTTCTGTATTTCAATAAATATTGCTTGCTGAACATATATACACTTGAAAAGATTTTCACATATGGGATTGTTAAACAGTTCCGCTTCGAGACTTCAAGTTTTCCTCGCACGTGTGGTTCTCCACTCTGAATGTTTATCGGGCAAGAACAGAGGACCAGGCGGGCGGCGGGCATTCCAAATTGCAGCAAACGCCTCGAAAGCCGAAAGCTTCGAAACCTGCTGCACATATCTTTAGAGACATGTCATGACAATGTGATTATTTCCAACGGCCAATGTAACTTGGGAGGGCCAGTTCCATACGAAGATTGGTCTTTACAAATCTGGGTCAAATCCACCATAAACCCAGGCAAATCGTCCGGACAAATGCTTGGACAGAATTGCTTGTGAGGCCGTAATCACCGGATAGATGCTTGGACAAATCTGCTGTTCAAGCCGACTTGAGCCCGAAACTCGGGACAAGTGCCTGGCAGGATTTGGCTTGCTTACAAGATGAGAGCCCAAATCTTGGGACGAGTGAGCGGCAAATTTCGATAACCGATAAACCTAGGGTCATTCTGGAAGTTCCTTGGCAGCTGAAGCTCCATCTTTTTTCGTCATACATATTTAATGGCTGCTGCCAGTGCTGCCGACCCCTGAAAAACGTGGGGTGGTGCAACTGAGGACGGCCTATGGTGCCGAGGAGTGCCAAGTAGGATCGAGTGGGGCCGGGTGGCAGAAATTGGGGTGCCTTTAAATTATTCCACTACAACTGAAATACCACTAAAATCACTAAAATAGAAAGGGTGGGGCAACTGAGGTCGGCCTCTGGTGTCGAGGAGTGCCGAGTACGACCGAGTAGGGCCGGGTAGGGCCGAGTAGGGCCGAGTAGTGCCAGGAGGGGGTGGGGCAGACATTGGGGTGCCTTAAATTTATTGTACTACCACTGACATACCACTACTGAAATACCACTAAAATACCACTACAACAAGCCCCAAGAGCAGGTCCAAGTGCAGCTGAGAGCACTGTAAAACCAAGCCAAAAACCACATAAAAGGGCAGGCTGATTTGGCTTGGCAGTGCCTTGAACCCCGGTTCCGGGAATCTTAAACACAGCAACAAACCTTAGGTGCAGTGAATAAAGAAATTTGGCACATTTTCCATGCACTAGCCGCCATGCACATGGATGGATCCTACATATCATACGCATGTCGCATTTTTCTCACAAGTTATTTCACATTTGTTTCACATTTCTTTCACATTTACTGTGGCATTTTCTGCAAATTGTCAAAGAGTCTGGGGCTTAGGCGGCTAAGGACATCCAATAACTGTAGAGTAGGCACATTTGCTGATGCATTTCAGGTCACATTTTCTTCACATTTTTGATACATTTTTGGTACATTTTTGGCCACATCTATGTCACAGGTGCCACACAATCTCATTCTCGGGTCACATTTCGATTCACATTTCTGGCACATTTATTTCACATTGTTCGTCACATTTATTTCACATTCAGGTACAGTCACATTTTCGTTCACATTTTGATTCACATTTTTGGCACATTTCTTTTTTTTTTTAACTTCAGGCCGCCTTGTAGTAGCCGGCCACATAATCATACAGTACCTTCATACAGCTCGAAGAAACTGAAAGAGGTTCTCTCCACGGAGCATTGCGCCATATACCGGAGAATTGACAGAGTACATAACATAGCTCGACCATGGAGCTCACACAAGTGCCTAGATGGCATGTTGCTCATAAGGAGTGAGAGATGTGTAGACATCCAGCTTCAGAGTGCAATGCAGAACTACAGATGTCACAGGATGGAATTTAAATGAGCCCCGTTACTACAACTTCACAGTAACACACAAACAAACAGAGTATCAAGCTGTGACATCCGTAGTTATTACAAATCTTGGAGCATCGCAGCACAAGGATACGGGTCACGCATGGTGCAGCTGTGAGTGTACAATGTCAGATGAGGGAAGGTTGCATAATAGAAGGCTAGGTACAACCAAGAGGCCATCCGCTGCAACCATCACAATCACGTTGCTGGCTGTATGCCAAGCCGGTTTACGCAAGCGGATTAGTCGCTGCTTCACGACTTCATTCGCATAAACCGAATGCAAAAGAGGCCAGTAAGGCTCATGCTCACTGTCCAAATCGGTCATATGTGAAGGGAAGCTTACAGCAAGCAGAACACTGCCAGTGGTGGCCTTCATGCTGAACACATCTGCATCAACCAATACCAAGCCAAACTAAAAGAAACTGCATGCTGAGAACGATTACGATGTGAAACCACTTTGCATCAGCATGAGGCACCTTACAAGTCAATCGGCAGCATAGTATGCATGAAGCCATAGCAACCAAAGAGAGCTCACCAGTGCGCAACTACAGTACTGCACATCGGAGTGTTGCAGGTTGCCCGTTTCGAAAGAACAAGTCAGCATATACGATATAGAAGTGACCTACATCACATGAAATGGGCATTCCCAACGGTGTCAGCACAATGAGATGCTGCCAGTGTGGTACCACTGCCGAGGCAAGGAGGATGCAGCATAGCGAGTAAAATCAAATCCCATAGTGTAGAACGCCATAAGATCGTGATCCAAAGCCATGCAGCGCAAGACCCCAGTGTGGCCCAGGAACAACGGCACGTTGGCAACTGCACCACGGTTGACATGAGGAGAGGGGAAAGCAGGAACACGGGGCCTAGGAAAACAATAATGAAGAATCCGATAGAAAATAGTCTCCAGACACATGGTGCCATTGCCTGTTGTGAAGAAGTGTATACCAAGTGGGAATAAGGAATGCACGAAACAAAGATCTCATAGAACTGTCTTGAGTACCACTAATAACCCATACCGACTACAATGCAGATGCAGGAGCATCAGTAGAAGTGCATTCAACAGTTCACATCAAGCAAGGAGTATCAGAGTCATGATGCGGCTCATCCATACAGAGCCCATAAGCGCCTCAGACTTGAGAAAACATAAAAACGAAAGAGCCGCATCAGGACCACACGTTGAAGCATCACTCATTTCAGAGTCAGCAATGGCTCACACCGCCCAGGCGTCATCGGATCAGACAATGCTGGCCAAATACACGGCATAGATGAGCCTGCATCGCCCGGAGTAGAAGGACGATAGAGTCCAATCAGATAGCAGCCAGTCTCAATCTCAGCATAATCATTTGCAGTGGCCAGGTAAGGCTTTTGGGCATCGTTACATATAACAAATTTCTAGCTACCACGAAACCCCAATACTTCGCCAGGCACACATATCGCAGTTTTGTAATGACCAGCGAGCATGGTGGGTCCAATGTGATATATCACAAAAGCCAGTCGACAATTGACCATGCGAGTAATCGTGGAGTCAGAAGTCTCAAACATTGGCACTGCAACCGATTGACCTGGACGTACTGCAACCTTGGTGAAGACCTTGCCTGCACCCGAGTCCGTAGGCAAAAACCGATGAAGCTGCAAGACAAGGCCATGGTCAGGACCAAAAAGTAGATAGAGCATGTACATACGACTGTCCTTCCCACATGTCAACGCAAGTCTGAAGATCCGCGCCCAACCTGTCCAGAGTCAAGGGAATCATCAGTGAGCCACGATCCTGAACATGGATGCCATGCGCATGTTCTGCTCGGGATTGCCACAGACCAGTAAAAGCACTCGGAGTAGCCTTGTCAAGGAAATGAGTGAGAAATTCCGCAGCGTCGTGCTGCTCATGAGCCTGAGGCCAGTCAGCGAATATCATCAACCATGGCAAAGAGTTCGTAAGAAGTAACATCCGAGCTCCAAGCACAACACTCAGACATCCAGAGCACCTGCCGCCAGCATGAGTGTAGTTGTGGTATATATATATATATATATATCCCATCCAAGCAAGCGAGATAGCCACCGAGTTCGCATAACAGAGATTCTGTGGATTTTGTAGTGTCATAGTTGGCGCCTTGTAGTTTCGAGGGAGTCGAAAAGAAGCGGGAGCCACATCAGCACTTCGTCTCACTGCCCCAGTAGCGTCCCAATCGCTCCCTCCGAAATCGGCCTCCGATCAGCTTCCAAACCGTGCAGTTCGCAAGAAGACGAAGCCACTCGTGAATGTTCTGGGCTTCCTCCCCAACCGTTTCGACTTCCAGAACCAGACGATAGACCTCGGTTTCCAGCTGTTCCGCAATCTTGTGGTGACCGGCGTGATGGAGTCCCGCAGGTGATTCAGTTTCCTCAGTAGTCGCGAATGTTCCAATGGCCGTGCCTGGTCCGTGGAGATCACCTCTTCCGTGCGCTGTTCTTGATTCCACTGGATGTATGGCCAATACAACTCTTCGCCTTTGTCGATCACAAGTCCCGCCTGTACTGTTTCCCCCCTTCTTCTCCGGAGTCACGGCCGCTTCTGCACGCTCTATGGTGGCTTCCAGGAGGGCTGACAGAAGAACGATACGAAGAGGATAGCGGGGGATCTCGGTTTCTTTGGCCAGGTTCCATGCTTGCGATACTCGGGCTAGTGGCGGAATGATTGATTCTGGCCCGGCTGTTCGTAGGAAGAAGATGTATCCTTGGTTGGCTTGTTGTATCGAGATCGCAGCTTCGTGCCGCAGACACAGACAGGCGTCCTATGGCTGACACTAGATTGTCTTGATTGCTTGAAGAAGTCTGCGAGGGACCGTTGCTGCCATTCTTTTGGCCTTTGCCCTTGCCCTTGTTCTTGTCCTTCTTGCCTTTGTTCTTGCCCTTCGACTGTGAGTCGTTGATTGCCGTCGAAGGAGCTGCATGCAGGGACTGTTGAGTCTGCGAGCTCTGAGATCCGGTCGGGGTGGCTGTGGTGGATATTGTTGGAGCTGGCTCTGCCTTCGGTGTGGCCTTCTCTGCTGCTTTGTGAGCTTTCTGCTGTCCCTCCTCCTTGACCGAAGAATCTTCTAAAATGCCACGCTTTGGTTGTTCCCTGGTATCCATGGGGGCTGTCGGCTCCAGCGATGGGGTGGGAGAATGAGGTTTGGGAAACATGCTCGCAAAGTACTTGGTTTCCTCCCGGCTGGGGGGAGCCAGTTCCTGGCCCTCTCGAAGAATCTCGTCCATCAAGCAGTAAAGCCAGATGTACCTGAATAAGAACAGGGCATCTGTGTCGACCCTTCCGGGAGGGCCGACGCAAGCAATACGGACATTGTGCACTCAAATAGCAGGGTCGCACCAGGGCTCGTACACGTGATTCAAGCGCCTTCCACAAAGCCACATGTGTTTTCTTATAATGCGAGCAGACGTAGTCTGAGTGAACCAGCCACTGCCTGCAAATACAGCAATGATGTCGAAGCTCCTGCAATACACCATTGGCTTTCCGCAAAGGTTGGATGCCACGCTGCCGAAGTTTAGCCAAAAATGCAGAGTTCCTGACAAAGGGCAAGACAGAGGTGGAGGAAGCTGAGGCAGCCACTACAGGCTCGAGCCCTTCTGTCACAGCAGAGCAACGCGAATGCAGCAGGTGTGTGTACAAATTCTGCCAGTTTTTGAAATCACGAAGACAGAATGAACATGTAGGCATACCATCGACTGCATATGTACGAACGTTTTCAAGCGTGATCTGGCTGCGATTCCAGTCCAGCGGCAAGTCATCCGAATGCATCTTAGTCTGTTGTGCCCTCAAATCCCGCATGGTGGCATAGGTACGATCACAGAACTCGCACGAGTGCGGCAGATCCAAAGAATCCTGTCTCAGGGAAACGGATACCAGACTTGTTCTGTCGACCGCCTTACGGATCTGTTCAGAGAGGGCCCCATACCATTCTGAATACATTGAATACAATGGTTTACACGCAATATCCGACGAGTCCAAGTGCTGACACAAAGAGGCATGATATTCATGGGCACGACTGGCGATGCGATGAAGATGCTCACCAAGTGCTGGAACCCCAGCCGTTGCAACAAGTGGTCATTGGTTTCGCGAGTGAGATGTCGAGGAGCTCGTGCAATGCCACGTATATGCCTCCTGCACATGCCGTGTAACCGTTCATAGCCTGACTGGCTCCAGCCAACACCAACGAGGCCATAACAAGCAGAGGATAAAACAATAGCGCGCCACAATTGTATGCGGTGAGGCAAAGATAATACGTGGTGGCCTAGAAGAATCTTGCGAATGCGCTCAAAGCTGGCCTGAGAGACGCCAAGTCGTCGCTTCCAACTGAGGTCTTCAAACTTTCCATACGACAAGACAATACCCAGGTAGTCAATTTGTTGTACCATAGGTGTGTATTCATTGTGTATTCCCACAGGGATGCGAAGCCAAGTCTCACCCTTGTAAGAGGACACCCAGAGACGACGTAGGCTTTGAGATATAGAGCCACGCATAAAGAGAATGGCCTTGCTCTTTGTCGGATTTGCTTGGAGGCCAAAGGCACGAAGCAAAAAGAAATTTGCCAAACTGATCCAAGGCCAAAGCCAGTTCCTGTGGTTTGTGTAGAAGCCAGCCCAAGTGCTTATCATTCGCAAAAAAGACAATGTCTGGTGAGACATCCGATTGCTAAATGATGTGTTGAAATTCTTCATAAATGAGTTCTGTGAAAAGACTCCACAGCAGAGGACTGAGCGCACATCCTTGCCGGACGCCTCTCTCAGCAGATATGCAAGAGAACAACCATGCCCCAGAGACAGAACAACTCCTTGCTTGTGCCACTCATATTCCACCACCCAGAACTCATCCGATTGCTCCTGTCGGGCTATTGCGGACCTGCTAGGTAGGAAAGTGCACAGTCTGCTTGGTCGAGAATCTCGGGGACAGATGCCAAGCTTGAAACCTTATGCATGGTGCTTTGATTTCCAAGCCGAGATCTCAAACCTTGCGCAATGACAATACCTTAGGCGCATTTCTCAACATGCTTACCTGGCATTTTGCTTGACTTACACAGCTGTAGTTCAGGTGGCCGTCGCGGCTGTAACCTTCTTGCCTCTTATACTTGGATTCCAAGTAAACGCAGGTTCAAACCTCTTAAAGCCCCCTTAAGCCCCCTTCAAAGCCTCTTTGTCAAAGCCCCCCTTTGCTCACCCCCAGAAAAGCCCCTTTAAAGCCCGCTTAAAGCCTTCCCTTAAGCCAGTCTTTATCAAAGGAAAAGGGGCCCATAGAGCCAGGTTCAAACCCAGGTTCAAACCCAGGTTCAACCCAGGTTAAATTCAGGTTTTAAACCTGGGTTCCGGGTTGTTGTTGTTCTTCCTTCAAGCACTTGTATAATTTTTACCAGTACTTTCTGTCGGTTACAGCACATGCATTGGTGTTACCCAAATGCATTTCTCTCTTTTGGAACTTCGGGTGTTTCCGCTTTAAATTTAGCAGAGTATGCAAATCTTTATGGCCAACATAAGTTTTCTTCCACAACTTGTAATGCTTTGTCTTCTTTGGCAGCTAATACACAGGTAGCACCCGTGATCCATTCCACAATGCGCAACAATGTGTCAAATGTCCAAGACAATTAACAGAAATTTGCAGACACGCATTCACCTGGCTTAACTGTTCCTGGCGTGTTCAAGACCCACTCTGGTGGGAAGCTGGGCTTGGAATTTACTACGCCGGGCGCGGCGTTTTGCGCGGTAAGTAATTATTAATTAAAAAGAAATTAACGGCGCGTGCAGAGCGCGCGCCGCCAGCGAACAAAAAACGCGTTTTTCCGTTTTTGCTTTCCAACCTCACTCAAACCTGCTTTCCCAAACCCAAAGTCTTTTTTATTTCGCCTGCCACCTCTATGAAAATATAGTCTTCGCCGAACCAGTGCTTAGCTGGAACAAACGGACGTGAAAACGCATGATCTGTTCCATGCGAGGGCCTCTGTCGTCTGAAGAGCCAACTGTGTTGAAGGGCCGCTTGCCGACCACTTTGCAGAAGGCAGCGAAAAAGCCATCAACCTTCTGGGTTCCTCAACCCTTTTCTGCTCTTCAAACCTGTCGTCCACCACGCACCCGCATTCTCGAGAATTCTGGGCGCGGAGGCTTGTGTTTGACACAAGTGTGACAAACGCAAATCACCGTTCTCCAAACTACTATCAAGCAGAGGGCTCTTTAGGGACTTGTGGGCTTTTCTTTTTGGCTTGACAGGGTCTCGTCGACGGCTGTAGCACTCGGTCCCTACAACCAAACAGACAACAAACTAAGCTAAAACACAACAAAGCGGTGAGACAAAAGCGAAGCTCTACAAGGGCTGCAGTGCACAGACTTTGGGTGTTAGCCGTTCAGCACAGCTACGGAGCCTCAGCGATCGATCCGGAGCAACAAGAGCCGCCGCTCTGAGCTGTCCAAAACAACAGGTGGAGCCAAACCAAGCTGAGGCCGCCGTCCGCATCCGACCGGCTGTGAGTCGCCACGACTCTGGCCACTGCATCATGTCTGGAAGCCGCCCTACAACGTGCTAGAGCAAAAGATCAAGACCTGGATGTTAGAAATGACATGCTCTTTGATTGCTTAACATGGCTCAGCTCTCTAAGAGTAGTAGTCCGCTATGCCTCCAAACAAGCAAGTTTGGTACTTCGATTCGTTGCTGTTGTTTATACAGCGAGACATGATCTTTTCAGTCGCTCTAGGCTTCGTTCCCATTGTGCCTGGCAAACACTTTCAAACAGTTTCCTTCAACAACGCCATTTCGAGGAATAGTGTCTGAATTGGAGCTTTATATTAGCTCCAAGCAATGCTTCCTCAGTCTTGCTTATGAGCAATGCGACAAGAACATCTTCACTCAATGCATCTCCGCCAGTCTCCTTTTTTCTCTTCTTCAAGACAACGAAGGCAATGAAATCTTCTTCGAAGAAATCCTTCCTAAACTCAAAAAGCAAAATTCGGCTCATGTTTCCATTCCATGGTCTCTGCCAGAAATCCAAAATCTCTCGTGCAACAATTTCCATGCTTTGAATCCGTTCTCTTGCTTTCCCGGTACGGACAATGCTTCCAGCAAATCCTTTCGTGATCTTCACAAGCAGACAATGCAATTCAATGGAAAGTTCGAGTAATCTTTCTTCTAGAAAATCTTGACTCGAGAATGAGATGCTGGCTGAATCAATCTGCCAGATGTGGATCGACAGAATGTCTTTGATTCTAAACTCTGAGTGCAGGCTAGAGGCCACCCACTACGGCCACTATCCAAGGTTCCAGCAGAAGTTTTCACACCGCCTAACCGGTGCCGGTAGAACAGAGTGGCTTTGCACTGCTGTAAAGGTGAGACGGAATTTGCTGCGCAAGACTCCGCAAGAGACCGTGCTGAACACTTCAGTGTTTGGCTCAAGCGTGGAGTGAAAGAAACTAATTCTGCGTGGCTTGAGACCTCTTTCCATCAGTGTGTGTCCTGGCCATTCGACCATAAGGCCACTGTGCTGGACTATTTGCTTGCCCACAGTCTACGGTGCGAGTTACACCGGATGAGCAAGGTTCTCATCCATCTGTGGACTACACACAACACACTTGGATCTTTGTGTGCCCTGGCTGTCCGACCATGAGGCTGCTACGCCAACATGGATTCCGGCAAATAAATGGTTCTTGCTATCGCCTGCCGCTGCCGCGGAGAGCTGGGTCGCCCAAACCTCCAAAGTCACATGCGCAATCGGCAGACGCGCAGCTGGTGACCGCATTTGCTAGAGCCATTGCACAACTCTTTGATCGGACTACGGTGCCAGGTATGATGCATGCCACTACGCGACCCAAATTTTACGGGGAGCGGGGCCAATGAGCGGGTAGACCTGATTGCGTTTAATTCGTGCTGAACGGCTTTGCCGGCCAAGTCTGTATGTCGTCGCAGCCACCTTGTTTCACTTTAGTTTGATGTTTTTTAGGTTCTTGTATCTTATTGAAGTTTCTTACTGGGACCGAGTGCAGCAGCCGCTGTCTACGAGGCCCGCCCACGCCAAAAATTAATCTACTTTTACACAATGCAGTTGCACAAACGCGGCTCCAACACAAGCGGGTTCATTTGGTAGCTGCGTGGCCATGAACAACCGGCCAGAGAGGCTACATACAAGGCACATTGATAAGTAGACGCAAAGTGGAGTTGCCACCCACTCTGCCTCTGCCTCCGTGCTACTCTGCTTGGACTTTGGACTTTATGTTCACGACTC